ACACACACACACACACACACACACACACACACACACACGCAGCCATGCTCCTGAACACTGGCCAGAGAGATACAGCAAGATCCATCTAGGGCACTGTGTAGCCCTATGACACCTGTGCTTGTCCTGTGACCTGGACCATGTACCCCATACCTAGTCCATCTTTGGGACTGTCAGGATAAATAAATTCTGGGTCTGATGGAGAGGCAGGTTTTCATATGGAGGTTGCACACAGAGGCACAAAAACACAGCAGACTATGTGTGACCTTTAAGCATTGTGTGACACTTCCACAACAAGGCACTAAACATGCATTTCTCTCTCTCTCTCTCTCTCTCTCTCTCTCTCTCTCTCTCTCTCTCTCTCTCTCTCTCTCTCTCTCACACACACACACACACACACACACGCTATTGTCATCTAGACTTTCTCAGAAGCACGGTGGATAAAGAGCTCTACAGAGGACAGGCCTATCTCTGGCTTTGTGCCCTTACACAGATCACTTAGCCTCTCTGAGCTGTGTAACATGTGCACACAGGGAACTCAGTAAAAGCTTACCGCCTACCCCTCTTTCCTGATAGTCCCTTCCCAGGTGAGAAACCAGGAAGATGTCCCTTCCCTTTCTTCCCCTCGAATCTCTCTCCCCTGTAGCCGCAGTACCTCACAGAACTCTCAGATACATCCTTCTGGGCTTGGCAGGAAATTGGGGGGGGGTGCCCAGCTGCGAATACTTGCAACTGTATAACATCGAGACAGATTCTCCAGGTTCATTCTGCCCTGGCAACACAATAGATCTCCTCTCCCCACTGCTTTAGACTCTGGGTTGGGAGCAGGGACTCCCAGACAGGTGAGGAGAAAAACAGAAAGGCAGAGATGTCTTCTCCTTACTCTCCAGTTCTCAGAACCTGGCATCACAGCCATCACTTTGATGACCATCCTTTTGTGGCCCAGGCGACCGAGTGGAGGAGTTAGCTGAGCCCACCTGGAGCACCCCATGCTGCAGAAGTCATAAGGTGGGCTGGCTGAATCACGGCAGAAACCACCTGTACTTGGCGGGAGCCAGGGAGATGTGAGGCCATGACATCGATGCTCACCCTTCCAGTCCATGTCCAGATCTGAAGGCTGAGATTGGTGGACAAGAGGTGCCAATCAATAAGTCTCTGAACAGAGGAGTCGTTGTCCCTCTACTCCTCTGGAAGCCTCCCCTTTCTTCCAGAGCTTTTATTTAGAGCCCCTGTAAGTTCCTGCAGATATAGGGTGGCAATAATAGACACAGCCAGGTACTTTCCCACCTGCGGCAAAGCACTAGCTTGTCTAGAAGCTGTGGATCATTGGCTCCCTACTTCAGGCTGTGGAGCCTGCACTCCAGGTGTCCTGCCCCTCTCAGATGCGGATAAGAAGAGGTGTGAGCACAAGTGTGTGCACGGTGGCAATGTTTGCAGGTGTGAGCATGAAATGTTTGCAGGTGTGAGCATGAAATGTTTGCAGGTGTGAGCATGAAATGTTTGCAGGTGTGAGCATGAGCGTGCACGTGCACCAGAGTGTGTGTGTGTGTGTGTGCACTGGCTCGCCTCTCTGTGTGAGTGTGAGCTTCTCAGCGCGTGATAGCATGCAGCTGTGTCCACGCGCTGCGTGTGAGGGTGGAGAATCACAGGAGATCAAGGTCCCCAGGGACCCTGGAGCCATTCCAGCCTCCTCCACAGGAGCAAATTTGTGTGAGGGTGTACATCTGTGCAAAGGTGAAGACGGACAAACACAAGAACTAGTGGCCAGGCCTTGGTGGCACACGCCTTTAATCCCAGCACTCGGGAGGCAGAGGCCGGCAGATCTCTGTGAGTTCGAGGCCAGCCTGGTCTATAGAGCAAGTGCTAGGACAGCCTCCAAAACAATACAGAGAAACCCTGTCTTGAAAAACCAAAAGAAAAAAGAAAAAAAAAAAAGAACTAGTGTTAGTCTACCCAGAGACCAGCTCATTACCAGGCCAGGGACCAACACACAAGGTCTTAAACGGTCCAACAACTCCATGAAGTAGGAGAGGTGACGACCCAGGTTTAGTGTCTGAGCTGGACCCAAACTCCATGCAACACCCTCAGGCACTGTAACCCCACACTGTGGCCTGGGGCTGGGGGCTCCATGAGGCTCAGGGAGGGGGACAGGTGTAGGGACAAATGGACTGTGGGTGTGGGCAAGCTGAATGCAGGTTAGAGGCCCAGGGACAGGAGGGAACAGGAAAGGTGAGTACCGGGACTGGAACCTGAGGGCACAGGCCCCTGCAGTCCGTGGGAAAGAGGGGGAGGGGGTTTGGAGCCGGTGCGTGTGAGAGAGGCTGTGTGAAGTGCAGAGACTTTTTCCTTGTTTCTTTCTCTTCTGACTTCAACCAGGAACAGATGTGCGAGGGGGCTGACGAATTGGAAACATCTGTAACAACTGTCCGAGCTGAAGTGTAATAAATAGGCCTTTCATCACATTCCCTGTAAGGGGGTCGCTGGGGACAGGCTCAGGGGAGCACTGAAAGGGTTCGGCGGTGGAGAGTGGCCCGAGGATGGGTGAGCAGAAGGACAGACAGACTGGCCTCCAAAGTTAGGAAGACAGAGCGGTTCCTGGCTTCTCCCAGCAGACACAGGCCTCAGTTTTCCTGTCTGTGCAGTGGGCTGGGCATTCATCTGAGGCAGTTTTTCACCTGACATAGGCTGGTAGTTTGGCAGACCATGGGGACTCAGAACAAATTATGCCTGTGCCCCTCAGCCAGGCCTCTTCCTGGGCCAGGCCTCAGCACTCCAGGTAATGGTCTCCAGAGGTCTTAGGCCCTGGAGTTTACATGAATCAAGTTTTCTGAAGACAGGCGCACTGTCTTTGCAGCTGGGATTCTGGGTCTATAGGAACTGGCAGGGACCTGGAGACTGGAGGTGACCAGTGTGGACACGGGTGTGCCGGGAGCCTTGTCTCACACTTCATTGTTGCTTATCCCAGACCCACAGCAGCTGCCAACACACAAACCAAAGAATCCCCTGGGGACTAGTCTGGTACAGCAGCCAGGAGCCCCAGAAAGGAGGGGATGTGGAGCAGAGAACCCATTGGGCTGGAGCTTCCATTCCAGGCTCTCCCTAGGCTAGATGTGAGAGGTAGTCAGCCCTACCCCTGCAAGGCTCAGGAGGGCCCAGGGTCTTTCACATATTTGGAGTACAAAGATTTCTAGCTCCCAGACAGCAGGAGCTGTACCTCAAAGGGTTGGAGTTCGAGGGTCTGCTCCAGCCTGCTGGTTTTGCCTGGGTCTTTGTTTGGTGCAGCAAAGACACAGTCCCCTGCTAGTCCCTGAAGCCTGAGAAGGGACAAAGATTCCTGTTTGCCACTGACCAATCTCTGTGTGACCTGGGTCACCTAAGTAAGCTTCTGTGGCTCAGCAGCTCTGAGAAATGGGTGTAGGTGACTCCCACCTCACAACACTGCTACAAAGATGTGTGTGTGTGTGTGTGTATGTGTGTGCCTGTGGGGAGGGAGGGGGAATAGATGTCAGTAAAGTGCCTGCTGTGCAAGCATGAAGAGCTAGGTTAGTATTTCCAGAACCCACATATAGCTAGGGTCAGTAGCCCAGGTCTATAACCCCAGTGCTGGGAGCGTAGAGGTGGAGGATCCTTGGGAGTCGATGGCCAGCTAGTCTAGCCGAAAAGGCAGTTAGTCCAGATTCAATGAGAAACCCTGGGAGAGGGGATTATCAATGTCAGCCTCCACACACGCATGTTCGCTTACACTCACACACATTCACATGCACACACAGCGATGCCATGTCTGGGGGAGAATTCAAGTTGGACCACAGACAGACACTAGCAAGTCACCACCACTGGATTCTACACATGTAACTGGGACCTCAATAGGCCCCATCTGGGCCTGACCCTGAGGCCATCACAGGGGCCCCAGGCCTCTGTACTTGCTGTCCCTCTGTCTAGAATGTTCCCTTCCCCATCTTCACCTGGCTGTTCCTATCTTCTGAGGCCCTGCCCTCAACCACGCCCAGGCTAGGATCCCCTACTTGTGCCCCTAAGCACCCCCAAACCCTACCTTTTCCCTTACGGAGGTCATCACATGCTTTGGTGACCACCCCGTCGTGGATAACACCCACTCCTTTGAAGGCTTCCAAGACTTTGAACTCGTTGAGGGCAGACACAGCTTCTCTGGCTATAGCTGCCACACCTGTCTGTGTCTGGTGTGGGCCTCTTACCCTTAAAAGCTCACATGTGGTGTTTGTTTGTGCAAGGTGTGTTCTGTGAGCTTTACACTTCATAACTCAATCAACCCTAACCACCATTCAAGGGACAGCCTGTCAGCCATGTTTGATAAAAGAGATAAATAGCGGCTGAATGAATGGATGGAGGAACGAATCTCGCTGCCTAGTGAAGGTGATGACAGGTCTTTGTTACTATAGAGACATGCTGCTCCTCAGCTGCCTCGGGAGCCTAGAGAAAGCTCTGCCTTGGAAGGAATGAAGGGCAGGTTAATGGGGCCCTTGGAACCTACAGCCAGGCCTCAGACTCCTGGAAAGGCAGGGCCTGTTCTGTTCATTTTTAGGTGACTGCTCTGGACCACAGGTTCCAGATCGGAGCCTCAGTACTAAGCCTTGCTCCTGCCTCCAGCCCCTTGATCCCTCTCTCTTCTATCCTTCAAATGCTAGGACAAGCCTCAGGAAGATGCCATTCTAGCCTAGAGGCTCAGATCAGCCCTTTTGGGGGTCCCTTTGAGCCCCTCTTTCTGCAGAGGGCATCTTGGGGACAAAAGCACTTGGGTCCCTTGCCCCACCTTCTTCTGTTTAAGCAAACAAATGGACCAAATGTTCCCAGCTTGGACGGGATGAGGTGTCCTCCCTAATCCAAACCAATGCGTCTCTTTGGCAAGAACCCCAGTGGATCTCCTGACTCTCTCTCTCTCTCTCTCTCTCTCTCTCTCTCTCTCTCTCTCTCTCTCTCTCTCTCTCTCTCTCTCTCCACAGCTCATTGAGAGCCTCAGGCTCTAGCACTTGTGGTTTGGAGTACCAGTGGTGATGCCCAAAGATCAGAGCCACGCCATTTACCTGATGGAGCCAGACATCATGAGAGTTCATAGACCAGAGTACAGGTCCGCATTCCATCTGTCCTGGGTGATCAGCAATGTTCACAGCAGCTGGTGTGTCGGTGTGTGTGGGGGTCGACATCAGGATGGAAGGGGATAGAACCTTTAAGGTCCCTTTTGGGGAGTGAACTCCAAGGTTCTCCACATGTGACACTGCTCTGGAATGAGAAGACCATCTCCAGCATTGTGACTGGCCACACAGGCAGGTATCGGTGTGTATGAGCCCACATATTGACATGACTGCACATACTGTCTTGCAGGGGATGGCTGTACCTGGACTCTGCGTATGTGTGCTCATTCAGGAATGCAGACATCCGCATGTTTGGAGGAGTTTGTTTAGAGACAAGGTATCATGAAACCCCGGCTGGCTTTGCATTACTGACCCTCTTTACTCCATATGCTGGGGCAGGGTTACAGGCTTGTACCACCGCACCCAGCTTTGGGAAGTACATTTGTGAGTGAGTGTGTGTGTGTGTGTGTGTCAGTAGCTGACCAAAGGGGCTCATGTCGGTCTCCGTGTGCCCACAGGGCTATGGCAGGCATACTTGTGGGAAGCAGGAAGTGATAGGGACCTGACATTCACACCCTGACCAGCCTGGGCTGCCTTTGCCTCCTGGGGGCCTGGCTGAGACTCTCAGAGAGGATCTGAGAAGGCAGCACCCGGCATGGCAGCCCTTCGCAATCACCCAGACAGACCCACTGGGAGGGGAGGAAACTGGAGCTTTCAGAGGCTCCTGTGGACCTAACTCAGTTACATGCTCATTACGCAGCTTCTCTTCTGTGGCTGCTGGACTGGGTGCGGCGCAGCATGTGCCCCTCAACCCAGGCCCTCAGTGCCTGTGGCTTTCTCCTGTTGGGTGTGTCCCATCCGAGGCTCTCCAATTCCCAGGAGCCTCACTGTGAGCAAAGACTCACCCTGCCTTCAGGGAGCCCTGGTCAGACAGAGACACCTAAGGGAGTCTAAGAATAGGTAGTCGGTCTGTCCCAGGAAGCAGGTAAAGACGGCAGAGCCTGTGGCATACTGCTCTGCCCTTTTCTCTGTTGAACTGTCTCTGGAAGCCTGTTCCCTAAAGCTCCACTCCAAGCTGGCAGTGGGTGAAGGCTGGGGGCACAGCTGCCTGCAGTGTGCCAAGAGCCACTCTGGGGAGGGGCTGGCAGACCTCTCCCCACCAGCGTGAGATGTGCAGTTACACCCCCCATCCCAACTTCACAATTAGACTTGCGGTTTGCAAAAGCCAACGCCAGCTTAATGAGAAGCATATTGTCTCCCAGGAGAAGCTGGAGAGGAGCAGAGGGCACCACGCCTCCCTAGGGAGGGCCTCTGAACCCATTGGAGCCTGGGGAAGGGCCAGCAGCCCCTCTGCCCTCCCTGCCCCCAGCCTCTGGGCTCCCTTCCCTACAACGGGGTCCTCAGGCTTTGCCTTCCCTCCTGGGGGGAGGTCATTTGGGAGCCAGATGTGGAACTCCAGCCTCTGGAAGGGAGGGGAGCTGAGCAGAAAGAGGAAGAGTGGCCTTCGGAATCCAACAGATGGGGACACAGGAATGCGGGTGCTGTCATTTGCATTCGAACCTTGAGACTTTGGGCAAGTTACTGAACCTTTCTGGGCCTTCGTGGCATCAATCCCACACCCTAGGGTCCTCAGAGAAGTCTAGCAGGGCACTCATACCAGCCCTGCACATTGTAAGTACTCCACATGAGGTGGCTCCGTGGGACGTCATGAAAAGAAGAAAACACTGGAACTTCTGCGCTGATGTCAAGGCAAGACAGCAGATGCAGCATTGTCCTATAGCCCCAGCCAGAGCTGGCACTGGGAGAAGGAAGTCTATGAGAACCCTTTTCCCCCTCACAGTCCCTAAAACTCAGGACAGGCTGTTGTAAAATCACATCCTTCTCTCCTCCTCCGAGTGGAGAACGGAGCGGAAGCTGCAGGGCTGGGGCCAAGTTCTGGGCTTCCCTCCTGGTCCGCGTACACTGGGTGTGAGCTCCACAAGCCAGTCCTCCTGCATACCCTGCTCACTCACTTTACAGGATCCTCCCAGGAGATAACGATATTACCTACTCCAGCGTTGTAATGTGAGCAGCCTATGGCGGCAAAGTACTTCCAACTATGCCAGGCACATGTATGCCACAAAGAAATTTCTCTCTCCTAAATCTGTTTAAGATTATCTGATACTCACTATTCTTATCACTTTCACTTTGTATCATATTTAACCCTTCTATTGTCTTCCTTGTGCATGCTAAGCAAGAGCTCCACTACTGAGCTATGCACCCTTCCCTTATTTAAACACTTAAGCATCCTGAGAACAACCCAGATCCACTGGTTGGTGAAGAGCACCACATGGAGCACCTGTAAGTGGAGGAAGACTACGGTGCTAAGGGTTGAGGCTTGCTGACCCTCATGCTTGGGGATTGGAACCAGACCTGGAATGAATGGTAGCTACCTAGGATCATGGTAGGAACAGGGACTGATAGCCAGTGGAGGAAGGACACATATTGCATTAATGGGAATGTTTCGAGTCATACCATGATAATGGTTGTATACCTCTGTGAATTCACTAAACACCACCGACACACACACTGAGAGGTTTCATGAGTGAATTTTATTTCTTAAAAAAGTTACTTAAGCCAGGTATGATGACACACACCTTTAATCTCAGCACTATGGAGGCAGAGGCAGGTAGATCTCAGTGTATTTGATGTCAGCCTTGTCTACAGAGTGTTTCAGGCCAGCCAGTTCTACACAGTGAGATCCTGACTCAAAAAGTGTGTGTGTGTGTGTGTAGGGGTGGGTGCTGGAGAAATGGATTGGCAGTTAAGAGCACTGACTGCTCTTCTGTGCCGGAGCCAGGTTCAATTCCCAGCACCCACATGGCAGCTCACAACTCTCTGTAACTCTAGTTCTAGGGTATCTGGCATCCTTACATATACATGCAGATAAAACATCAATGCACACAAAATTTTAAAAAAGGTTTAAAAAGGCACTGGCATGTCTAACCATTCCATTAAAAAAAGAATTATTCTTTAAAAAAAAAAAAGGAGTACTTGTTGCTTTCCCTAAGGACCTGGGCTTGGCTCTCATTAGTCACATGGTGTCTCACAACCATCCGTACATAACTCCAGCTCTAGATGATCTGACACCCTCTTTTGGCCTCTGTGGGCACTAGGTGCACATGTGGTGTACATACATGCAGGTCAAGCACTCAGACACAGAAAATAAAAATAAATCTTTTTTTGGAGGGGGGTGTTTTCGAGTCAGGGTTTCTCTGTATTGCTTTGGAAGCTGTCCTGGAACTTGCTCTGTAGACCAGATTGGTCTCTAACTCACAGAGATCCACCTGCCTCTGCCTCCCAAGTGCTGGGATTAAAGGCATGTGCCACCACCACCAGGCAAAATAAATGTTTTTTAAAAAGCTATTCAAGATACAATAACAACAAAACAAAACACAAACTAAAACAAACTGCATTATCCCTTTTGCCCTGGAAAAAAATCACAGCAATTTCGGTGCCAGGTTGGTTTGCCTCTAAAGTTCACGCTCAAGTTCTTCAAGGTGAAATATAAAAACAGGTCCATGGAAGGCCGAGCAGTGGTGACACACACCTGTAGTCCCAGCTCTTGGAGGCAGAGGCAGGTGGGTCTCTGTGAGTTCAAGGCCAGGCTGGTCTACCGGGGGAGTTCCTAGTAGTCAGGCTGTCACACAGAGAAACCCTGTCTCAAAACAAACAAACAAACAAACAAACAAACAAACAAACAAAAAACAAGATGTATGTACCCATGGCCTCGGAGCAATGAGAGGGTAGCCGATTTTTTCATCCCTCCCTCTCTCTCTGAGATAGAGTCTCACTTTGTAACCCAAGATGGCCTGGAACTCAAAGTGATCTTCCTGCCTCAGCATCTCAAGTGCTGAGATTACAGGCACAGTCCACCATCACGGCCAGCCTACCCACACTTTAAAGATAAGAAACTACAGCGCAGAGACATCCACAGAAGCGATCTCTCTGGATTGTTGGGTTTTGATGTTTGCTTTTCTCTACTCGGATGCTGAGAACTGGTTCACAAAAGTGAGGTGATGAGTGGGACCTTAGAAGTAGTTACTCCAGGAGACAGGGCCCTAACACCTTGTCCTGCCCCTGCTCACAGGTAAGAGGGCATCACCAGAAACCCCAAGTTCTCTTGCCCATCACATTTCCTGTCTCTCTCTGTGTGTCTGCCTGACTTGCATGTGTATAATATGGAGGTGCTTTGCCTGTAACAGAAACAATCCAAGCCTTCAGCATCCACTCAGTTTCCGACCTCGCTCAGCATCAGTGTATTACTAACTACTGTGCTTCACAATAGTACTACGGGAGAATTTGAGGTGATTCTATTTTGTAGGTAACTGATGAACACACTGATGATGTAAGATGCCCAAAGCCATATTCGTCACCAGGTATGGCTTTCCAGGCAAGTTTCAAAGCCCCAGCGCTACCCCAGGCCCTCTGCTGCCTCCAGTCTCTGTCTCTGCCTCCTCTGCCCATTTCTTCCCAGCTCCCTCTTCTGTCTTTCTTTGTATCCTTGCTTGCCTGTCTCTCTCCCTTGGTCTCTCGCCCTGTGTCTCTGTCTCTCTCATTTATTTTTAATAACCACAATAATGAGAAAAGCTCCTTCCAGACCCTCCTGGGGAGGGAGACAAAAGGAGGGGAGCTCAGGGACAAGGGGGGAGGGATAACCTCCCCTCTAGCTCCTGAGAAATTTAATAAAGGGCCTGAGAAAGTGCTGGGCTCCAAGGCCGGCCAGTACCCTGGGAAAGGGGGCGGCCCCCTCCCCCACCACAGACAGGGCTCTGTGTGGGCCTAAGGTCAGGGGAGGGAATGTCTCGGTGTTGGGCCCCCCTTCTCCAGCTTCCAGCCTTTATCTCTCCCCTCCCTGCTGGTGGGAGCAATTCCCCTGCCTAATCCGCCCCTGAATATGGGCCCTGCAAACCCCTCCCCTTACCCAGACCCAGACCTGAGGCTTTCCCAGGAGAGCAACTCCTAGGGGAGAATCAATCACAGGACTGCAGCCTCTGGACTCTCAAGAGGTCAGGCAGCACTGCCCCCTGCCTAGCTGTGTCCAAGCCAGTCCCCCAGGAGGCCATTCATAAAGAAGGATAAGCCCTGACCACCCCCATCCTGGCCCTCAAAGCACCTGTTGCTGAGGTGCTCCGTTGGTCCCTAGCAGAGAGAACCCCAGATCATACACAGAGCTGGACTGTTTCCGACGCTGGCCCTTGAAGGCCAGTATTGGCAAGATGGAGACTACAGGTTACACAGCCTCTCTTGATAGTCTCCAATTTCAGCTTCCAAAAGAGGCTCACTCAGAGAAGACCACTCTGGTCCAACTGCCTCAGGGAACTTTTGAGGGAATCAAGAAGAAGAGAGTCGCTAGTGAAAGATGGGAGCTCCCCCAGGGTCAGGGCAAGAAAGTCCAGCTGCTATGGGACAGC